ACGTTTCGCCGTATGGTTCGTGACGGCTCATCAGGTGTGCAATTTGAAACTCGGATGTTGAGCCATAAATAAATGTGGAAGAGAAAAAGACATATGGATACGAGTTAAGAGTAACTCTCCATCACTGTAACATGATACTATATACAGTCAGAAAGTGCAATAACTAGGCACAAAACTGACAGAGTACTGAAACATTCGACGTCCTGACACCTAGCTTTAACACATCTCCGTAGCGCTAACCGACAGCCTTCCAACTTGGAAGGTTCAAGGTTATGGAAAAGACCAAAGAGGGGAAGGCAAGCGCAACGAAAACGAGCAAAAGCCACAGTCCCAACGGAACAAAGAATGTCGATTGTTACTGGACGATGACGAGACCAGTACGATATTTGACAAAGCGGTCTAACTACAATTCGAAGCAGCAAAGCAGCACACCACCCAACTTGGGTGGGTCATAAATATCAAAGATAAGTAAAGAAAGGGAAGCTTTGCGAAAACGAATTGTACAAGCCGAAAGCCAAACTCCTACAGTACTCCTCATGCATGACATTGTGATGGACTAGTTGACTACAAAACAAGTTGTTTCACACGTCACGAACCATACGAACCATACGGCGAAACGTACGTCGTGTGAAACAACTTGTTTTGTAGTCAACTAGTCCATCACAATGTCATGCATGAGGAGTACTGTAGGAGTTTGGCTTTCGGCTTGTACAATTCGTTTTCGCAAAGCTTCCCTTTCTTTACTTATCTTTGATATTTATGACCCACCCAAGTTGGGTGGTGTGCTGCTTTGCTGCTTCGAATTGTAGTTAGACCGCTTTGTCAAATATCGTACTGGTCTCGTCATCGTCCAGTAACAATCGACATTCTTTGTTCCGTTGGGACTGTGGCTTTTGCTCGTTTTCGTTGCGCTTGCCTTCCCCTCTTTGGTCTTTTCCATAACCTTGAACCTTCCAAGTTGGAAGGCTGTCGGTTAGCGCTACGGAGATGTGTTAAAGCTAGGTGTCAGGACGTCGAATGTTTCAGTACTCTGTCAGTTTTGTGCCTAGTTATTGCACTTTCTGACTGTATATAGTATCATGTTACAGTGATGGAGAGTTACTCTTAACTCGTATCCATATGTCTTTTTCTCTTCCACATTTATTTATGGCTCAACATCCGAGTTTCAAATTATTATTATTATTATTATTATCAGTGCAGCTAGACCTTGATGAAGTGCGTCAGTTGTGACGAAAATGCATTATCATTGATCTACAGGCTACAGTACTACTAGTGCTAGACCAGTCGCGTGAGCAGAGTAAAGTCCTGTAAAGAAGCAGAGCTTTGCGTGTGTAGTGGCCAGGCGATGACATGCATTGCCACTAACTGAGTAACTCTGTCTTGCTCGACAGTGTGCTACTTCTGGTGCTAGACCGGTCGGCAATATGTAAAGAAGCGGAGCTTGGCATGTGTAGTGGCGATGGCACGTCTGGACGTCAAGCGGCAGACAGGAATGTGTAGTGTCTACAACTAGACAACGGAGTGACATGTGCCAGAGTGTACACGTACGTACATGTATGTCAACCTCCACCGGGGGACCTGTCAACGCTGCTGATGAGCACACCGCCGAGTATTGAGGTCGGCTGAGTATTTAGTTGAGAGCTCAGTGTACTTCGAAAAATTGATAATACTTTAATAGCGATACCGTCACATGATGTACTGTACATTTCTAGCTGTACATAACTGTGCATGTGCAGTGTACAATGTACGTGCACTTGGTGCATGTACAGTTATGTATGTACAGTGTACTTGGTGCATGTACCAGTTATCAGGTTATGTACAGTGTACTTGGTGCATGGACCAGTTCTACACTACAAATACTAACAGTAGTAGCGACAAGTCAAGAGTACATTATTGACCTGGTCATTACTCGATTTTGACAGTAATACGTACATGTATCTATTATAAATATTGACTGAGTACGAGGTCAATATAGGAAATAAAAGCCGAGTAAAAGACCGAGGCGAAGTCGAGGTCTTTTACGAGGTTTTTATTCCCTATACTGACCAAGTACGAAGTCAATATTAGATTTATCACGTGTTTACCGCCATACCACCACAGTCAGGAGTCGACTGTATGTAACGTTAGAAAGTTTTCATTCTCAAACATAGAAAGTCTTATAGTTGACCAGAAATAGTGCATGTACAATGTACTGAAGTAGGTGTGAAGAAGTCGACGTAGGTCTTATAAATTATGATAACAATAGACAGCGAAATGGAAAAATGAACAGAACTGCCAGCGTGTTGGGGTCCTAGACATGCGTTGATTGTCCGAACATACATGTACATGTACATGTACTAACAAGGCCGGTCTAGGCAGCTCGACGTAGAGTGCTCAATGCACAAATGTACAGAGCAGTATACACACACAACAGAGCAGTACTTACACACACAACAGGGGCGAAAGGCAGCGATCATCAGACAGCAGCATGTACAATCGTGTACATGTATGCAGCATGTTATTGTAGTTGATACATGTAGCAAGTCCTATAGTTGTGCAGGGCTGGTCAGGATGTGAAGAAGTCAGCATATATGTAGGTGGTATAACAATGCCATTGATGACACGATCAGCGGCATCAATGGCGGCGACATCGTCCACAGAGGTGGCATCGGATGATTCTAAACGAAACGATTAACTTAACCAGATCAGTAACGGCATCATCTGCTCTCGATTCCACCATCAGCAGGGGCATCATTGGAGGTGTCCAGCAAACAGTCTGAATATGAATCTTACATTGGTACGGAGATTGAATCAGGATTCATCTTGGGAAAATAAGTACATCGAATATTTCTTCAGGTACTAGTAAGTACATTTTTCCACTCCCCAATGGTATTCGTCTTATCGGAATTCCACTGTACAATCTTGTTTTTAATTAATGAGAGACCGAGAAGAGAGAACGATGAATTTGTTTTGAAGAATTGAATACTTACTTGAAGTAATTCCCCTGTCTTCTTTAACCTACATGTCATATATTTCCGGTGCATGCGTTCAATTGGCATAATTATGATTCATTGGACTTTTAACCTCAAGTGTTTTAAAAAACAATTGAGAGGGACTCAGATGGTGAGCCAAGGAAAAAATTGTGTAACATGGAAAAATGTGGGCACAAGTAGTTATGCGATCGAGTCCACCACCTAGCCATGATTTTGAACAGTCAGCCGTGCACAATCTAGCACAAAACTAACAAAATAATTGTGCACGTCTGACTGTTCAAAATCTGGTTAGTTGGTGGACTCGATCGCATAACTTCAATCTTGGGCCCACATTTTTCCACGTTACAACCCGAGAGGGAATCCGGGATTTATCTTGTAGGGTGTACATGTACATGTACATGTGCAGGTAGTATCACTGAAAACTACCGGTAGTGAAAAGTGTTGAAGATTAGAATCTACCAAAATGTCAGCAATCCTTGTGATCGTTCTGAAAGTGGTGGACATCCTTGTGATGCACACGATACACGCATTCGTTTTGTACGAACTGGAAGACCACGCTCCAGCGACTAGAGAGTCTTGCTTGCGTTCTGCACGAATGCAAACAATAGCAAGGAACATCTCCAGAAGCAGCAGCAGCAACAACAACAACAACACCCATCACAATGTTATCTCTTGTGTTACCCGAAAACAGTGAATGGAAGTGAGACTTGTGACAAGCCGGAACTGTCTTCTGCGTGTAGTGTTACCACTTGATCGTGCCACGTGACCAGGGCAGCTATTGTCTTTTAAGCTCCACCTCTGGAAGCAGTATCTAGTGGCTATAAATAGACACTAGATCCCCGGGCATACATTGTGCACTGCCCTCTCCTGCGAAGCAGCGAGAGGTCGCCGGTTCCAGCCCAAAGCCCGTTGCACATCTGACAGCAAAACAATAATTCCCGCGATGCAGCTCACCAGATCAATGTACATGACCGTATCGGTGATCTACATGTAGGTTATCTTCACTTAGTATAGTCGCGACGAGAGAGCTTTTAAAACAGCGTCCCGGCTTAACTCCGACCTTGGCATGTCACTCGTCAGTGTGTCTCGACCGTTAGCATAACTTTGAATTTTACTATTGCCAGTATTGGTCAATACACAATGCTATCACGCTTACCGCTATCAATGGCAATGCACGGTTTCTGTTCCACCTCCGTGCTGTCCATGGCCAAGGGAAAAAGAGCACAGGATAGGTAGGGCTCGGCACTGGCTCAGGTACTACTAATACTAATCACCAACGACAACCGTTACAAAGACCTGTGCCTGTGCATGCATGGCTGCCGAGCAGCCGCCGCGATCCAGCTCTTTGCTCACCCACTGCACGCTCGCTGCAAACTAATCGCTCGCCGATTGCCAGCCATCAACCTGGGTCTTTTCAGCACTGACAGCTCGTGTACACACTTTCCGACACAGCAGTCACCAAGTCACCTGGCCGGCTAGTTCGACCATTGCATGCGTGTGCACGGCTTGGTTATCACTCGAGGCGGATATGAGGCGTAACCATAGCGTGCACACTCTTCTCTTCCAGTTGTGAAGCATTTTTGCAAAGAGTCACTTTATTGTTAGTGGCACGGCCCTGAGAGGTGTGAAACATGGCCGCCAATCCGCAGTGAAAGAGTTAGTTGGTCCACGGGGTGCAATAATATTGCACACCGTGGACCCACTAACTCTTTCACCGCGGATTGGCCATGTTCCACACCTCTCCGAGCCACTCGAACTCGCAACGAGTCATGGGGTGTGTTCGTTGTATCGGGTCTCGTACTCATAATACGTACGAGGCCAGATACAACGAACAGACCCCATGGCCCATGAGCCGTTACACACATCCCAGAGACGATCTCACGCCGAGTTAGACGCGATACTCGACGCCTTAGATAAGACCTACCTATGGAAGATCGGCGCCTGTGTGCTAGGTCTACCCCATGACATTTGTACGGATGCAACTCGCCAGCTGACAACTGACCGCTGGCTTTCAACGTTACGACGAAAATAATAGACTCGGCCAGGCCCGAAGCTCAGCCGTGCGACCACGGGTCTGCCAGACATTGGCAGTATCCACTGCCAACGGTTACGTTCAGCTCAAGCCCTACCTTCTATGGAAGAATTACTAGCGGCGGTAAAATCGTGTAGGGCTATCGCAAACTCAGTCAGCCCTCGCTGAGCCAGCCGAAGCCCACCAACGGATGTGTATGCTCGCCACTGCCCTATCGTGTCCACATACAGCATCCTCTCGGCCCTGAAGCCGGTAGGTTAGATATAGCTTCTGCGCCTCTCCTTCGCCTTCGCGTAACCAAGTCTCCCCGGCGAGAACGAAGAGTAGTGTCTTTGGGACATACTCGTGTACGCGCCACAACCCCATAGGCCACCAACTTGGACATAACTGTTCCAGGGTTGCACAACTAATCAGCTGTGGTTTGGAGGCGCGCTGCACGCTTGTCGGTACCCAGCGCAAGCCGCAGCTGTATCAATCCCGTCACGCCAAACGCAGCTTCATCAACGTTTTGCTGGTTCCCGTTTGGATTTACCCCCGTTTGGTGTTGGAAACAATCGACCACCAGTGATCTAGTACTTATGTTTGCCTGATGTGTGATGCCCTTGCGCTAAGAGAAGCGTGCTCTTCGTGCCTTTTCTGGATGTGTGACCTTTGGACCTGACCCGTGCGTTAGTTCAGTGCTAGTTGACCCCGCGCGTAGAATTATTGATAATCATTCGTTCGCCTCTAGGTTCTAGTGTGCTCTGTGACTGGATAGTTTCCAGAGTTCCGCCAGTGCTGGGAACGCCCGCGTTTGTGGGGCGAGCAACGTTTTGAGAGAGGATGCTTCCTGGGCGGAGTGCAATCCACAGTGGTTGCAGCCTGCGCTTCTGGTCTCTCTGCTTCCTGTCGATGATCGCTTGCCAACGAGTGGCTGCAGGTATGTCTAGCTGAGCACAGCCTGCAATTCGGTTAGGTGTTTTTACTGAACACATGTGTAACATAATAGCTATTCAAGGCTGATAGATTCATCAAAAATGACTACTCACTATACTGATCTACCTGCAATGCGACCCAAACCTGGACTGTATGCAGACCCAGCAACCCCTAGAGCGAGCGATACTAGATCGTTTTGTGGTAGGTCTAGGTGACGCAGTCCGTTGACAACTGAGTCAATCTTCCACAAGGTCGTGCGCAGTGCGAGCAGATAGGCAAGGACGAGACTAGTAATCAAATTCATATTTTCAATACAGCGAAAAGTAACGATGAGTATGGAGGAAAGTGCCTGATGTCTCAGGCTCTGATCAGGAGCCCTGAAAGCGCGATGCCAATATACAGTGCTAATGGTTCCCACCCTAGAACCAGACTTTTGCTGTAGGCTCTATGTGCGATAAAGGAAATCAAATGAAGTATAATGTCTCAACAAGATCTCGACGTTTGTAATAGACCGATCCCCTTATTATTGTCTGGGTTCGAGCAAGGGGGCAACTCCGCAGTCGCGTGGGATCCTGCTGCACACACGCGACCAACCTCACCTCGGCTTTGCGTGACTTCTCGCATGCGAAGTGCAGAGCACGCGAAATCTACACGCAGTGCAAGCCTGCTACGTCTACAAAAAATGCCACAAGGACTTTTGATTTGAGCTGTTTTGTTTTTGTTTAGACGTCTTCCTTTTTACGACTTCAGGATGCCTTCTCAGGATCATTGCTGCGTTCCTCACTGTCAGAACAGGAGGACGAAGCAAGCAAGTCATTTCACTCCTTTCGTCGTGTGGAGCCACAGCGGCCTGGAGCAAGCGGATCCAGGCTATTCCCCGTGAGGAAGGACGTAGTTTTAGGGCCACTCTGAATATTTGAGATGCAGCGATCATTTCGATCCCGAAGTCGAAATCGTTTTGCCCAGCTCTACAAGGGCAGGATGAGTCCAGGAAGCCAAACAGCTGTCCTACGGTACCAGGTTTGCTTTTCGCAAGAGAGTGGAGTCTGGACGCTCTGCTCCCTATGCTCGCAAAACAGTATTTGCTGAGCCTAGTGCAGTTCGGTCATGGAAGTGCAGCGTCTGCATCACGAGCTCCCCATGCTCGCAAACCAGTATTTTGCTGAGAGGCAACGGCATTTTGAGTTGGAAAGGAACCTGGCTTAGTGCAGTTTGGTCCTGTAATGGAAGTGCAGCATCTGCATCAGGAGTTGGCAGCAAGTAGAGCTCGTGTACAGAGTCTCGTGGAGCAGTTGGACGATGGGGTGAAGAAAGCCGAAAAACAGCTTACGTACAATAACATAAAGAAAGACTCTGAGCCGCGCCAGTTTCTGACTGGTTTGCCTTCAGGTGTTTGGACCGCTCTGTGGGACTTCTTTGAGCCTAGCCGAGAAAATGTACTGCGCCGAGCCAGACCTGCGAAGACGGAAGCTGAGGGACGGCGGATACAGTTGGAGGTGGCCGTAAATCGCCAATGAGCATGTAATGGAGGATCAGCTGCTATTGACATTGATGTGTCTAAGCCTGGGCCGAATGGGACAGAAGCTGTCATGCGTGGCACAAGTTAATCATCCGTTTCACGGTATATACTATATAGCTAGCTGAGCTGGAAAGACGTCTTGTTCCTCCGTTTGGGCATGATCCCCATTCGGGCGAGCTGGCGAGATGTTCAGTCATCAATGCCATGTACCGCAAGACATTCTGCATTGTGGATGAAACAGTTCTATTTTGCCATGCACTTAGGGTTCTCGCACGGGCACAAAAAGACCCAACAGATCCTTGCGCTCTTATTTTCTCCCATGGTAACATTGCTGATCACAACACCCGGTAGCCAGTCGCAGATGCAACCAAATCAACCAGGTTCTCTTACTCTTTTTTTCCAATACTGAAACCAAAGGTATACCAATATTTGCATCGAATGCAGTGATGATTTCAATACTGTCCACTAGTACAACGCATTACCAGACTGGCATATAATCATGATAATATTATCCATTTCGCAATCACTGTCATTGCTTTCTTAGATCTTCAATCATCAATATCGGACCATAAACCGTCTATCATCTTCTATTATATCATCATTAGTATCCTGCTATCCTCCTCTAACGATGAGCTCGAAGAAAAGAAACAGCGGTCTAGAGGCGTAAACAATATCTGTCAACGGAAGTGTCCTTGCTGTGCTGGTGTGTTTATGCTTCGTGCATTAGTTCGGCCAAGAGCGCACGGTGGTGGCGGGTTGAGGATGTTAAATATACTAGAAAATAGTTAGGTTCGAAAGAACCACACACACACTTTGCTGCAGACAGCGGCAAGCTTTGGCCCTCGTGCTTCGAAGAGGGAGCAATCCACTGCGCTACGCTTGCGATTAACAGCAAGCTTCGACTTTTCAAAGGTACGACTCATCATTGGCTCTGGGGTAATGTTCCTGGAACAAATGCCCCATAGCCAACCGAGGGCAAGGGAGCACGCAATCTGCCTTCCTGGGCGAGAAGTGTTCCAGCACAAGAAGCAGCACGAATACATAGGTTCGAAAGAACCACACACACACTTTGCTGCAGACAGCGGCAAGCTTTGGCCCTCGTGCTTCGAAGAGGGAGCAATCCACTGCGCTACGCTTGCGATTAACAGCAAGCTTCGACTTTTCAAAGGTACGACTCATCATTGGCTCTGGGGTAATGTTCCTGGAACAAATGCCCCATAGCCAACCGAGGGCAAGGGAGCACGCAATCTGCCTTCCTGGGCGAGAAGTGTTCCAGCACAAGAAGCAGCACGAATACATGCTGACAAAGACCACTATCACCACCAGCCGGCACACAGCACTCTGTTCTTCAAACACCATCCACTCCGTCCATGTGTTTGCACTGTCCTCCTCTAGCTCTTCACGCTCAACAAATAACACGCACTGCTCATCGTTTTTTTTATGCTTCCTCTGGGTTGGCTAGCCCTTCGACTTGACAAAACAGCGATCACCACTGCACTGCTATCGTCACCTCATAGCAGTCGCTTCCACCAGTGGCTTTTCCTGTCTTTGCAAGGTGTCCAAGGATGGCTGCTGTTGTCACTACAGGCAAATCAGAAGTACTTTAGTGGCTGATGTCCAACCAGATCGTTGGAAAATCGATTTTTCCACTTCAGGGCTGCTGATCGCGACTTGGTGACTTGGCAGCACCACGGTTACCTTCATAGAAGATGGCTCTGGAGAGGAAAAGACAGACCAGAAAAAGTTTACTATTATCTTCAGCACCGATCGCAAGGAGAAAGAAATATGGTCTGCTGTAGCCTAGGTACAAAATAAATCTCACAACACGATTCGAGATTCGAATATTTCAACAACAAAAAAACTCACCTCTGGAGTAACTCCTGTTTGTGGCCCGAGATCGTTCCCTCCCGCGCCTTGAAAAAATCCTGCAGCGGCATCACAGTCCATGTCTCTCTCGGAGACTCTGCTCCTACCAGCAGGAGGTTTAGCACCGCTCGAAGCCATCGCAAACTACTTGAACTAAGCAGAAGACATTCCAAAACAAACCTGAAACACACTGTCAAAGATGCTGTCACGTTCAAAAACTAGCTCGATCGCGAGTGAGGTTGCCCCCGTGCTCGAACCCAGTATAATAAGGGGATCGGTCTATTGTGTCCCTGCTCTGTCGTGCTCAGTCTTGTCCTGCATAATTCATAGGTAGGGGGGTTGTGTTTGACTTGTAAAACGCGGACCGCTAGAGCTTAGTGTACACGTTAGTGTTACTGGTAGGTTCGTTGTGTGTGGGAAATGGGAAACGGAGTAATGCGAGTGTGCAGGACAGTCGTAAAGAAAATGACTTATTACACATGGTCGTTGTGTGTGTATGACACAGCACACGTCTCAGCCAGACCTGCTGAGTCTGAGAGTCATTCCTAGAACCCCAAGCAGATCTTGGAGAGCGTGTGTTTTTTTCTCTTTTTTTCTACAAAATCCACAGACACTGGGGTGAATACAGTGTAGTGTGTAGTGAGTAGAACTGTGTGTCTCCGTGTGTGCAATGAGGCTCAGAACATTCATGACATTATGTGTACTCATCAAGTATTTTATCAATAGTTGACACCAATTGTAAACAAACATCACACAAAAGTAGACCTCTTTACCCCCCCCCCCCCCCCCCCAACACACACACCACGTACATATACACCATGAACCCCTAGCCTCCACCCCCCCCCCCCCCCCTTCCCTCTTTGACTTCTCTTGCTGTACAAACTTAGTTGAGCAGTGAGATCTGTGGACTAGTGAATACAGGTATTCAGAGTTGGCTAAGAAGACTGTTTGCACAGGTCACCTGATGACATCCACTCTACATGACATGTACAACGCAATTGTACATGTAGAGTACACAGCTGTGCCCCACTGCAGAATGATGTTGGCATTCACGCTTCAACTCCATTCACTTAGGGGATACTTGAATGCCAGATGTAGCATCAGCAGAAACATCACTAGGGACAAAACTTTGTGTTTCATTGCAGCCATAACACCAAAAACTCTATTATAGTGTAGATCTACACAGGTGGTGCACCACTCCATATGACTGCAGTTGGAAGACTGGTCAACCCATCCATTATTACGCAACATTGCGTAATCCACACCTCACCACTGACTGTTTGCTACAAGTGCAGGGTTTTTTTTAGCAAAAGTGGGTGAAGACAAAAACTATGATTTTCGTCTTCGGTATCGTCTGATCGGTTGATGTGCGCGTGCGATGCATTGAGATCTAACGGAATATCTTTTTCGAAGTCAGCTCCTGATGGGGAAGGAGAGAATGCAGTGGAAAGAAAGCGAGTCACAGAATATGTTATTGGACTATCAGCGATCACACATGTTATCACGGCGTGATTGCGTGTGGCTCAATCTATGGCACACACCATCACTATGCTCCCACTATGCAATCTTTCGTCTTTGCCTGTGAGCTGTGATCATTGTAAAAAAAAATAAAATAAAATGAACATTATTCTCGAAAGTCGAAAGGCAGGCGTGCCTTGTTCGAATCCCACGTGCAAATCCTTTTGTATAAATACTATAAAAGCTATCGGTTAACGCTGTTGTGGCACCGGTTCACTTCCCACAAATTTCTCTTTGTCATTCCTATACATGAACATGTACCTGTTCATGTATGTCTATGGTAAAAAATAAAAAAAGGAGAAGGTCAAAATGTTACTAGTTATGCTAACTGTCCACCAACGTAACCAGATCATATACAGTCAGCAAGTGCGAACAAATCGCAAAGAAACTGACAAGGAGTACTGAGACATTCAGCAACCTGACAACTCGTAACATCTTGTCCTTCTCCTTTTTTACCATAATTAAATTCGCTCACCACCCGAGTTCAACTATGTACATCTGTGTGTGTGTGTGTGTGTGTGTGTGTGTGTGTGTGTGTGTGTGTGTGTGTATGTTGGTTTGTCCCATACAACACCACAGTGAACACGCCACCAAGCCATCCCACCGTAGAGGCCTTCCGCGTCATCGACGGCAAAGATGCCGTGGTGCGTTGCCATAGCGAGGGCATCCCGCCACCGGCGGTCACGTGGCAGTTTGCCAACGGCAGTTCTGTGAACACCGGCGACGGGCGACGGCGCGCCGTGGGCGGAGAGCTGCACTTCAGGCCGTTCTGGACGAGCGCCGATTACCCGGCCATCTACAAATGCATGGCACGCAATCCCCTGGCCGCAACCTCCAGTGACCACACGCCGGAAATCGGACGTGAGTGCTTTAGGAAAGGATCACAATATCCAGGTTTTCCATATTGAAGAGATTGACTAGTTGAGGGAATGGAAAGGGGAAAAGTCTGAAGAAAAATTGACTGTCAATACCAGGACTCGAACCAGGAAGGGAGAGAAATATTTGAAGTACGATGTGAATAAAAACTGCTTGTTGGTGCAAGTTTTATATTCTTTGCCAGCTACGAATAGCTTCTTGGGTCTCTTTTGTCAAGCTGTTGAGCCATCAGCAACCTAAAGTGGTTTTCTACCATGAAATGCCTAGTCTGTACCATTGTGATCCCATTTGTGTGTGTGTGTGTAAAAAATGAAAAAAATGAAAAATAGGGATTCACTGGCCAGAAAAAGTCACTTCAATCAGCTGTGTGGTGGATACCAGGCTAAAAATAGTGCCGGTCAATTCATCAGCCTTGCAAGCTGTTGAATGGTGTAATCCCTGCACAAGTTGCTATGTCTAACATAGCTGTTCGCTATCATCGCTTCCGCGATGGGCAGGTCTGAGGTCTGAGGTGTGTTTGTGTGTGTTTGTGTGTGTGTGTGTGTGTGTGTGTGTGTGTGTGTGTGTGTGTGTGTGTGTGTGTGTGTGTGTCACTGTGCGTCCATGTGTGCTGTGTATGTATGCAGAAATACCCAAGATAACACGTAATCCAGAGGACATCACAGTGGAACAGGGCAAGACAGGTGTGCTGCTGTGTGCGGCCAACGCAAGCCCCACTCCACATTACAGGTAGGAAACTGTGTGTGTGTGTGTGTGTGTGTGTGTTTGTGTATGTGTGTGTGTCTGTCTGTGCATTTGTGTGTGTGTGTGTGTGTGTGTGTGTGTGTGTGTGTGTGTGTGTGTGTGTGTGTGTTTGCAACTTTCAGTGCTGTATCTGAGAGGGTGGGATTTTTGCACGATCTGACCAAGTGCATGCATATCGTCAAGTCAAAATATGCAGTTCTATGTATCTGTACATAACCTTCCTCTGTGTGTGGATGTGCATGTGCATTTGCACATGCATTCGTGTGTGTGTAATGTGCATGATAATTATGTCTTTTCCCTATCCACCATCCCTACCTTCCTGCAGATGGTACAAGACGGCCCCAACCGGCCAGCCTATAGCCAAGGGCCATGCCCTGCACATCGAGAGTGCCCAGTACGAAGACCACGGACTCTACTTCTGTCAAGCAAGCAACTGGGCAGGCACGGCTCTCACCCGTGCAAGAGTCACAGTACTCTGTAAGTCTGAAGAACTGGGGAAATGAAATGAACAGGTGATGAGGATTAAGGAATTTTGTTATACGGATGAGAAATTTGTGAATGCAGTCAAAAGCAGACACAGAACAATATTCAGTCGATTCAAACATTTTCTTGTGGCAATCTTCAGGAAAGGATCCTGCATATACAGCAGCACGTAAAGCAGCATATTAATCAGGGCAAGATGGGCACCTCCACAGAGTGCTCAAATGCTCCGCAGTCCAGCATGATATACATGAGCACAGACATGCGGGAGGCAGTTTTGCGGTGGATTTTTAGCTTTACCTGCTGAACGTTCGTTGATGCCCTGGGCGGTCATCCGATGTTGGTTTAGTGTGATTAGACAGGCTGTATCCAATAGTATATTGCCATACCTAGTACACGCATGTAGTGTGCAGTGTGCTGTGTGTGATAGTCTGTACAAAACCGAAGACTCGCCACGCAGCCACACCTCAGAATGGCTTTTTAAGCAAAGCGGTCATTAAAGCCAGGTGGTCTTTAGAACCAGGTCCCACAGTGTCTGTGTAGAACAGTCCGTGCAAGGAAAAACGGTCAGGCTTTACTGTAAAGTAAACCTCACACATCTGCGTTATAACTGGCCATACAATGGTATTCGGGCAGTACCAAGTCTGCAATTCTTACCGATTCTTCATTTCTGCTTGCATAGATTCGCCGGTGATACTGACTAACCAGACAGAGCCGGTTCACCTGGATTCTGCCGATGATCGGCAAGTCCTCATTGCCGTGTGTGAGTACTCGGCCAATCCCGCGCCCACCGTCCGCTGGTTCAAGAACAGCATGCCGCTGGCGATGGGCGATCACTTCCGCGCGTCCAGCAACGCAACCACGGCCACCCTGCATGGCCAGCGGCTGCAGTCGGAGGACGGCGGTCTGTTCTCGTGCGTGGCTACCAACCCCTTCGGCAGCGCATCGGAGAGCTACAGGGTCATGGTCAAGGGTAAGGAGACCAAAAGAACTGAGACATTGAATACCGTATCTCCCCGATTGTAAGTCGCACCGTTTCACACTAAACTTCAAGGGCAAAGAAGGGGGTGCGAATCAAGTGTGACTTCTTGCTTATGTGAATGCATTGAGACCATTTTGTTTGGACATGAGAATGGATTGCGACTTATAGACGGGCAAATCAGGTACCATTTTTCAGTATATGTGACACGTGTTGTGAGCTGCCCTTGGCGTGAAAAACTTGCCAGCGCCTTCTAGGTTCGACCTGGTCCCATAGCTCAGATGGTTAGAGCATTGCTCATGGCAAGCAAGGTACCGGGTTCGAGTCCTGGTGGGGTCAGCATCTTTTTCCACTTCCCCGACTGATCCTTTGAATTTGAAGTTCCCCCAATGTTTCGAAATGCTCCTGATCAAATAGATATTACCTCTGCCTGGCCTAGTGTACATTGATAGCAAGGATGCTTGCACGAGGCGGTGACAAGTGCATTCCAGTAGCATAGCGAGATAACAGCTCTGGAGCCGAACAGCTTAAGCACAGCATTCCACAGGGCTGTGCGGTTAGCACAGGTCTGCGGCTTTTATGAGGTCTGGCTTATAATGAAACCTTATCTGCACTGCTGCTGTCTTCTGTTTTATCAAATTAACCTTGATCTGATAGTCACGGTCACTTGCACAGGCTGTCAACCTTGCCAATAGCCATCCTCGATCGTGCATGAGAAATGCGTCTTCTGTTCACGAGTTGTTCCTATTCGTGAGGTTAAAAGTATTCAATATTTTTTCTAATTCTTATGAATGATTGTCTTTCTCTCCCTGTGTCAGGTCGACCTCCACCGCCAAACATCACCGACTTACGCATAACAGCACATTCGGTGGATGTCTTCTGGCAGGTGATGGGAGATGGGAACTCGCCCATTGAGGAGTACACTATCCAAGTCACCAGAGGTGAGTACAGGATACTGTCGGTGGCGCTGCCCTGAACACCACCATGCACAATAGCATCGTACACTTGTCCCTAGAAGCATGCGGCTTTGTATGGGCTGTTTTGATTGGTTTGGTTCACCTCAACAAGAATAGGAGGATTAAAAAAAGTTTTTTACTCCGAGTTTCATGCACTAAGCGATTATCAGAAACCTTATTTTCCATCTTCTTATTCTTGTTGTAACTAGCTCTGCCTTTCGGTGTTGAGCACTGTATTGCGGGACAGCCTGGAACCTCTCTGCTCTACTGGTTTGGTTTACCTCTATTAATGTCTACTTCACCATGGTCACAGGCAATATGTGTGTGTGTGTGTGTGTGTGTGTGTATGTGTGTGTGTGTGTGTGTGTGTGTGTGTGTGTGTGTGTGTGTGTGTGTGTGTGTGTGTGTGTGTGTGTGTGCGTGTGTGTGTGTGTGTCGTGCAAATCCCACCAGGTGACAGTGCTACTGTAATCGCCGAGAAGACAGTAAAATCAAAGCAGCTGCAGGGCACTCTCCACGCCAATGGGCTGCTGTCCGGAATGTACTACCGGGCTCGGGTTCTGGCCCGCAACAAGTTTGGTCAGTCGCCTCCGGGCGAGGCTCAATTCCGCACCCAACCCACGAGTAAGTGAGATTGGTGAACTGTGGAGAGTGGGCACGCATATAACCATTACCTTTTTACTATACGATGCTATTTGCAGCACAGTAAAACCTGTGACTAACGACCACCCCTTGGAGCCAGAGAAAGCGGTCTTTAGTGGCAGGTGGTCCTTAGTGAGAGGTTTGCACCGCACAACCATAGTACATGAATGTGACACCGTCCGTGCCTGGCAAAGTGGTCTGTAGTACCGGGCTGGTTGCTAGTCACGGTGGTCTGTAGTCACAGGTTTTACTGTAGTACCGGGCTGGTCGCTAGTCACGGTGGTCTTTAGTTACAGGTTTTACTGTAATTGTTTGTGCATCATCGATATGTCTCTCAATACGGCTGGCTAATCTCCCCCTCCTTTGCTTTGGCTTTTTTCCATTGGACGGTGAAATGAAATAAAAAGATATTTGCAGACAGACTCATACAGAGAAGGGCAAAGAAAACGCAGCGTCTTTCTGTGCTGTGTGGTGATGGCTGTGTGATCACGGTTGAGTGTGTGCGTGAAACTCTGAGTCGCGGCTAAATTCTCCCCGCTGCATGTCTCTGTGTTTGCCTATGCGTGTTCAGGACCGTATCGTCCCAATATCACTGACATCACGTCGCACCGCCTGAGGTCCCTGACCGTGCACATTCACATCCCACACAATGGCGGCGAGGACGTCAGGAACTGCTCTGTGGACTATCGGCGCATGCCATCCAGCGGTCTCTTCAAAGGCGATGACCAGGTGAGTCGATTCATTGGGGTATCATTCAGGAGGAAGAGAAGAGGTTTGTCAAACAACGCCCCTTTATCTTTTATCATACCGCTAAGGAGAAAAGGCACTTCAGGCGCTTCAAGAACTTCTTCAAAGTTTTCCCTAGTATACTTTCGAGCCTTATCGTCATGTGAAACAAAGGAAAAATCAAATGAAAAAGGGGACAATTGATTAAGTGCAATAGGTCTTTGTGGTCCACTTTCACAACAACAACACACACACATACGTCTCTGCTGTGAGCGCGGTGGCTCGGCAATGGCGAAGTAATGGATTAAGTACAGTAGAGAAGTGATAGAAACAGCGCAAGGAAGAAGAGCTAAAATAACAACGAGCATTTTTTTTCTTTTCTTTAGGATGCTGTTACGTGAAGTCTACAAACTCCTCAGGTGTACTTCAGATTTACAGAATGTTTATGCACCTCTACTTAAAAACCTGAGAAATATGTGAAAAAAATTAATATGAAGAAAATTGACTACTTCAAAGAGAACAAGACATGCCATCTCTGCCAACAGCAGCAGGATTCTGCGGCACATTGCACTTTTAAACAATGCAATCCAGCTATCCGTAGAATTTAACAACTGCAACATACAAGTTAAAACGAAGGTCAATGCTGCACTCCCAGGAGGTGGTATGCCACGGTTCATGTATGAATTACTGTAAAAGCAGAAATTTTCGGTGGTGTAATATTTTCGGTGTTCTCCAAATATCGGCGGTTCGGTGGAGGGAAATTTCCGGCAAAACCCATTTTCCAGGTATTAGTGTACTAGTAGGACATTATATACACTGTCGGTTGTACTGAAAATTCAGTGCGTTTTATTTTCGGTAAAAGTTGTCGGCACCGAAGTTACCGAAAATAAAACACCACCAAAAATGTCTGCTTTTACAGTACTTATTCTGCTAGACACGAGTCACATGACCAATGGAAGATTTTTTCTTCATACGCATACTCGTGAGCTCAAATCTGGTTAGATTTGAGGAGCAAAAGGGATGGTGAGACGTATTGTACCAGGCCGACCGGAGGTCTAGGCTTCACAGTGAGCTAGATGCAACCATATCATGAAGTTCTTTTCTTTCTTCTACAAAATCTACATAATTATCTCCTGACACCGGAGTGAATACTGGAGTGTGGTGGGGCCCAATAAGCTCAGCCAAGTACTGACCAGCTTGTGGCGCTTCTTTTCTACCCTATCCGTGTCTGTCGGATGCAGGTTGAGCAAGCTGGACGACCCATGTGGCGGTCGGTGCAGGTCGAGTCCTGGGAGGCGGATCGTGAGATCACTGGTGAAATCAAGGACATCATGGTTGATGCGGTGTATGAAGTGAGGGCGCGATGCAGCAACAAACACGGCTGGAGTCGCTGGTCACCACTGCAAACTGGATACTCACCCGCGACCGGTAGGTTATCTGGGAATTTTAGCAATGCATGTAGTACTATCTGCCTGTCTCTCTCTCTCTCTCTCTCTCTTTCTCTTTCTCTCTCTCTCTCTCTCTCTCTCTCTCTCTCTCTATCTCTCTCTGTCTCTGTGTCTCTCTGTCTCTGTCTGTCTCTCTCTGTCTCTCTCTCTCTTTTTCTCCCTCTCTCTCCCTCTCTCTTTCTCTTTCTCTCTCTCTCTGTCCGTGTGTGTGCGTGTGTGTGTTTGCGTGCTTCTCTTCCGATGGGCAAATACATGGTACATGGTGTGTCACCACTACTGACAGATCGATTAACTTTGAAGTGGAAGTGCTAAGACTGCAGGGTTAGATATGTGAGGAAGATAAATATCACGTTCGACTTTCAAAGTTTCTTCGCCTCAAGCTATCCCATTTTAAGATGGTAATGTCTGCTATGCACGTGCGCTACTTGTGAAGATGCCTGAAAACTCTCAGATCATTTTTTAAAGGAAAGTATGCCATTTTCGTCATGCTCCTCCTTGCAGTACTCTCTTTTGTTTCTCTCCTGATTATTTAGTTCGCCGTGGTTGGCTACCACCCGACTTCTCATAAATATTGGCGGTCTTACGACGAGCCAGGAGATGTTGAATAAATAAATAAATATAGTTAGAGTTTACAAGAGCCTGAACTCTGGGTACCCCATTCATTTTTGGAGAATTGCTAGAATGTGCAACTTGTTACAGTGCCAAGTCTTACAGTATGGGTCCCTATTGATTGAGATGGTGTTTTATTTCACCACCCTTGTTGTTTGTTGTGCGTGCAGATCCCGCCTCCAGGTCCGAGGAGGCAGTGGCCGGCAAGCCATCGTCGACGAAGACCATCATCTACGCCGCTGCCGGCGTCGGCGGCGCCCTCGTTATTCTGCTGCTCGTCGTACTTCTCATCGTCTACAAGCGGCGAAGGCTTCGCAGCGACAGCACTCAAGTCACCCCCAGAAGTAGCCACGGCAACGGCGGTGGTAAGCCGTTCCCAGACTCACCAGAGTCGGCCACTGCTCGCTATCATCTGTCCTCTGCAGTGGCGCCCTCGGCTGAGGCATTCGACGCGGGAAGCAATCCCGGAGGAGCCGACCATTCACCGACCGGCAGGCACTTTCGACGTGAAGGTCAGTTGAAGCTGCAACGCCTTGGATCATCACGCAGCACAAGCTTCTCAGAAGGCCTCCACAACCTGTCCAGACAGCAAAGTCAGTCACGGTCCCGTGCTGCAACCGGTGATAACGGTCGCAGTCCATACGATCACGAGTCTCTCACGGCGGCACGTTCGTCATCACCGGGACCAGCAGCAGCAGCAGCAGCAGCAGCAGCAGCAGAGGAAGATCCTGAAACGGTGTACTTACAGGAACGCCAGCGCCGTCAGTATGCGATGAGCCGGTCGCTGGGCTATCTGGATCGCAACGGCTCGTTCTACCTGTCAGCCTCACAACTCGTCAACAATGAAGGTGGTGGCGAAGGCGAGTACGGCGCCATGCCAACCGAAGACCCGGTGCGGCTCGGTTGCTATGGCGCCGAATCACCCCGGGCAACCAGATCGGGGAGGCAGCCTTTGGATGACCCGCCCTCTCGGCGATTCCCGCGCAGCAGGGAGGACCCTGAGAATCTGAGTGGACGCGCGAGCATTCTGCACGCCTCCAAACAAAAAGCGCTGGAAAGGTTCTCCAGCGATGAGCATGCATCCATTCCACGCGAAGTCAAAAACAAGTCTTTACCGAGGCACGCCGAAGCACCAGGTTCAAAGCCGCCAATAGCCCACAGGCCCGCTGTTCGCAGTAAAACTCTCCCGTCTAAGAAACCACCGCACCTAGCCGACCCAGACTCGCCGGAGAGCGGCGCGTCGGGTTCCTTCAAGGCGGACATCAGCCAGGGCGTGCTGGATTTGAGACGGCCCCGACGCACCGTCACCAAACAGGTCAGCTACAGCGAGGACTTGCCGACGGCCGCACGACCACCGCTAGCCATACAGGTGATGAAACTACCGTCATCAGAGTACGCGCAGAGTACGAAACTCAAAGCCGGCACTGCCCCTGACAGGCGCGCACATCCGAGAAAGACCGGGCAGGATGACGCGCACTTGCCCAGCAGAGGTTCGAGATCAAAGCACTCGCCGGAGCGCCGACGAAAGCCCTCGGGCGACGGCCATGCTTTCGCAGACGAGCCGCTGTCCAGCGAGCTTCCCCTCGGTAACGACGTCAACTTCTTCAACACCGCAGCCTGCATAAGCAGCAGCAACAGCAGCAGCAGCACCAGCAGCCGGACTAACATCAACACCATCCACACTAGCTCCGGTGGTGGTGGCAATGCATTGCGAACAGTCAATGAACGAGGGCCGAGTACGAGGCGAAAAGCGGACACGGTGCACGCCATGATATCCGGTAGGAATGTGCCGCCGTCCGCGCTGAGCAAGAAGATCAGCAACGGCTCGCACCGCTCGCGCGCCGGAAATGAAGAGTACGAAGTGGACGATGCCTGCATCGTCGATGGCGTGGAATACCCGCCGACGGAGGAGCGCATTGAAAACGGAAATGTCACCAGTCTCAACTCCTATGTGTAGTAGGTGTTTACCGCTGGCATTGTGTGTTGATGGATACTCCGTGGAACAAACCAATCTGCTTTCTGGATCCACCTTGCTGCATGAATTTATCCTCCATGGAACAAACCAGGATGGAGCCGGAAACCCACTGTGATCAATCGTGCGTGCAACAAACCCACATGGAGCCGCCAACTCGCTTTCCCCAACCCTTGGAACAAGCCCAGCTGTATCAGGCGAGAGCCATGGTCCTTGAGCTGCCATACAGCCAACACCATACACACCACTATGTATGCAGTGTGTGATGCGGACGGTGCGCGATCCGCTCACACATGCTACCAGCGTGATGATGATGCCGTGGACGACAAACGAGTGCGGTGCACGAGTAAACCTGTCGACTTGATGCTATCAATCTAATATCTATCACACTATTGAGTAATATCCACTAGATCTATTTTAAATTGCTTTGAGAGAAAGTTGCAAACGGGTGAACTAGATCACTAATAACATTATTTTTTGAACTGAGCTGTTCGGCGGCAACAAGAAGAACTAGGAGATACACACATGACAACATTAGAGCTTGTACATGTATGTCCTGCTGCTTCTAGTGTCCATCCGTCGCCAGGAAAAAAACAAGAGCTACAACAACAGGAGTACATTTATTTTGAAGCCTATTTTAAAATTGGTGACAATTATTCTTCATACTATGTGGGTAGCTGCCTATTAAATACAGTAATACTGTTAGCTAGAGCTTTGAATCCGTGCAGGTGTTCTGACAGTGCATAGTATTGTGCACTGAAGCTTTGCTGAATGGCTGCATTCCGATTCGTGCTAGCTGCTCACCAGGGAGTAGTAAAATAACGGTATTTTACTACTCCCTGCCGCTCACCATCTCTCACATGATGTTTTTATGATTGTCCCCTATCCATAGTCATTGTAATTAGACCTAATTGTAATGCCCTTGAGAACAGTGCTAGCGGCTTTGGTATGGTGCAATCTTGAGCTAGAAAGTGTGCGCCTGTTGCGGGGCTGGGATGTGCCGAGTAATTCTTGGGGACTTCTTATCATTTCCCCCTTTTTTTTTTAATTAAAGGGGAAGTTAAGCCTAAAATAAAATTTTCACCAGTTGTAGTCTTCGGGGTGCTGAGTCGAAATGGTCTTGGTCCGAGGAAGCTGAGACGCTCCCTTCCTTCTTTATTCCCAACTGAACTCTTGCACTTCCACCGAAACTGGGTGACTGCGCCCTACTAGATGGGGATTTGTATGCAAAATGTCACTAAAAGCGCCATTTCGTTCTTATAAAAGCACGGATGACCGCGATTGGCCCATATGTTGTAGTCTTTTGGACGCTGAGTCGACTGGTTTTGGTCCGAAAAGGCTGCGATGCAGCGTTCCTCCTTTATTCCCAATCGAACATGGCTGAACAAGTGGTCACGTGCTCGTACATACACCAGTCACCTGGTCACCGTGCCTGCAGGCTACACCTTTGAGCGAGTTTCTGTCACTCGAGTTGAACCTTGGTGTGAAAGTTGCCGCCTGCTGGCGCGGTGACCAGGTGACTGGTGTACGCACGAGCACGTGACCACTTGTTCAGCCATGTTCGATTGGGAATAAAGGAGGAACGCTACATCGCAACCTTTTCGGACCAAAACCAGTCTACAATATATGGGCCAATCGCGTTCCTCCGTGCTTTTATAAGAACGAAATGGCGCTTTTAGTGACATTTTGCATACAAATCCCCATCTAGTAGGACGCAGTCACCCAGTTTCGGTGGAAGTGCGCGAGTTCGAGTATGTCTGTCCTTAAAGGGGAAGTTAAGGCAAAAACTAAAATTTCACCAGTTGTAGTCTTCGGGGTGCTGAGTCGAATGGTCTTGGTCCGAGAAAGCTGAGACGCTCCCTTCCTACTTGAATCCCAATCGAACTCGCGCACTTCCACCGAAACTGGGTGACTGCGCCCTACGAGATGGGGATTTGTATGCAAAATGTCACTAAAAGCGCCATTTCGTTCTTATAAAAGCACGGATGACCGCGATTGGCCCATATGTTGTAGTCTTTTGGACGCTGAATCGACTGGTTTTGGTCCGAAAAGGCTGCGATGCAGCGTTCCTCCTTTATTCCCAATCGAACATGGTTGAAGAAGCGGTCACGTGCTCCTGGGTGCCAAAATCACCTGGTCACCACGCCAGCAGGCGACAACTTTCACACCAAGGTTCAACTCGAGTGACAGGACTGCACCCAAAAAAGGTCAAAACAGGCTGTAAGTTGTACCCTGCAGGCACGGTGACCAGGTGACTGGTGTACGCAGGAGCACGTGACCGCTTCTTCAACCATGTTCGATTGGGAATTAGGGGCGAACGCTGCATCGCAGCCTTTTCGGACCAAAACCAGTCGACTCAGCGTCCAAAAGACTACAACATATGGGCCAATCGCGGTCATCCGTGCTTTTATAAGAACGAAATGGCGCTTTTAGTGACATTTTGCATACAAATCCCCATCTCGTAGGGCGCAGTCACCCAGTTTCGGTGGAAGTGCGCGAGTTCGATTGGGATTCAAGTAGGAAGGGAGCGTCTCAGCTTTCTCGGACCAAGACCATTCGACTCAGCACCCCGAAGACTACAACTGGTGAAATTTTAATTTTTGCCTTAACTTCCCCTTTAATGTTTCACTGTTCGCCGATGACACCACAGTTTCCGCTTCAAGTAGTTGCAAGCAATTGCTAGTCAATGACCTCCAGAAAAAGATAAACTCCACCATTTCTTGGATGTCGACTTGGAAGCTGAGACCGAACACTAGTAAGACCAAAGTGATGTTCTTCTGTAGCGGTGCTAGTGATCAGTTCTGTAATGTGTCTTCATCATGTCCTGGCAGCTCATCGACCATAGAAATTGTCCATGAACATAAGCACCTTGGTATAATTATTGACGACTGTCTAACATGGGCTCCTCATGTAGACTATATTTGCAAGAAAACTAGTAGTGTTCTCGGCATACTATATCCTCATCGTTCTCATTTGCCAAATACATGCCGTTCTATGTTTTATCGCTCGTATCTACAGTAAAACCTGTAACTAACGACAACCGTGACTAGCGACCGGCCTGGTACTACCGACCACTTTGTCAGGCACGGACGGTCTCACATTCAAAATGCACTGTGACTAGCGACTACCTGCTGAACGCGACCAGCGACCGCCTTTTCTTGTCCCAATGTCGAATTTTGACCCGTAACTAGCGACCGCGATGTAGCAAATCAAACATTGCTTGAAGCTCCTTCTCAAAATGTTGATGATTTTCCATTGTCGTTTCGATACTACAGCTGGACAAATGAGCGCAGTCTCATTTTTACTGTGGAATCAGTGTGGATTGCACTACACCTGTCATAATTTCAAGTGCTGTCAAGTTGAAACATGATAGGAAGCTTCTTGGAGAGCGCATCCAAAGCGCTCTTTGATCGATGTTACTCGAAGGAGAAACTAAGACTGAGCGGCTCTCTGTCGAAGTGCAATCACACAGCTCAGTCACCAGACTCACCACTACACCAGGTCACACTGACAGTCTGTGCTGGCTAGCTTGTAGCATGCTACGGTACTATTATGTACTCACCTGTACGGAACACAGGCCAGGATACGATGGCGGATAATACTAGTCTACAGTGAAAGGTGCGAAAACTCGCAACATCGCCGCATCACGTACTGGTACACACCAGTACAGTTTACGCTACACTACATCCAAGTCGGAGCGACTGAGTTTCCACTGTAGATCAACACACTGATACCAGTTGCCAGTGTAGTCGCACACAGATGAGGATGGAGTCGATAGTGACTGCACTGCCTGGCCAGGCCAGCGCTGCTCTGGAAACCCAGTGAGTCGACATACGTGTCAAAAGGTCGTATCGCTTCCGGTGTATAAAAAAACTTGATTTTCTCTCTCTCCAAGTGTTGTATGATCTGAAAGAAGAATGTCAGGGCGCAAGTGGTGGGGGATTGTATTATCTGCATTTTGACATACATATCATATAATGGGATCCATATATGGTCGCGCGGTGCAAACCTCTAACTAAAGACCACCTGCCACTAACGACCACTTTTCCGGGCACCAAGGGGTGGTCGTTAGTTACAGGTTTTACTGTATTACCTATTTTCCAGTATGCATGTCAGTCTTGGTGTAGTCTAAGTCAACATCTTGTGAACAAACTTGAAATCCAACATAAATCTCTTCTTAAAATATTGTTTAACAAGCAGCGTTTATTTCCTAGTCTTGAGCTCTATTGTGTCAGCAATACTCAGCCACTGCAAGATAATCGCAAACAGCAGCTTTGCGTTTTGATCCACAGAATTCGCCTAGGTAAAATTCCCATTCATCTCTCCGTATACAATTGGTTTTCTCTGTCCCGGTCCACTCGTAATAGTCTCTCACTTCCCCGTGCTAATTCAGCCGCATTTACCAACTCTCCTCTGTTTTTGTCCTACAGCCTTTGGCTGCAACTTCCCCAGCATGTTAAGACATCAAAATGTCTTTCCAGCCTTAAAAATGCACTCCGATCGCATAATGTAGTACGATAGGATCTCATTGCTGGATTCTTGTCTATCCTTCTTTCTTCTCTTTTTCTATATTCCTTTCTTTTCTTTTCTTGCCGTGGTTGGCTATCACCCCTCTCTCGCACTTTGCGTGCCAATTGGTCATGAACCACGAGTTGAGTGAAATAAATAAATAAAATAAATAAAGTTCGATGGGGAATAAAGGGGGAAGGGAGTGTCTGAGCTTCCTCGGACCAAAACCATTGGACTCAGCACCCCGAAAACTACAACTGGTGAAAATTTGATTTTAGGCATAATTAACTTCCCCTTTAAAGAACACGGAGTCCAAGAACACGCAGTCTGAAATACTAATAATTATTAAAAGAACGCCAGAAACCAAAGCTGAGAATGGGGCATATCATTTTCTACCGTTCTATAATTCAGCTTTTGTTATACATGTACAAGTGTTATAAAGTGCACACTCCAGTACAATAAGAGTCTAAGAATGTGCTAAAACTCAGAACGCAGCCATATTGCTAAAACAATGACTCAACTGCAGTTCTTTTGCGCACAGGTCATACTAAGAGTCCATCACACATTTCCCTTGGGGTTGTGGACTCTTGGATCATATTCCCATTGACCTGATTCACAACTTGTGACGGTTTAAGACCTTTGCACTTCACTGAGAATTGAAACCTACTTCAAGCTGTGCCGAGAGTACATTACAACTTTCAGTTTCGCACGAATCTTACAAGAGAAGTTCATGAGTAATACACATGTAACATGATTGCAAGCCCGAAGAACACGCCAATGCTTCATAAACTACATACAGGCTATTGGCTAGGCCATTTGGACCAAAAAATGACATTGAAATTGCGGTCTGCAAACCCTGGTTAGAACTTTGTCATTTGAACGAAGATGATGTGGGCTTCTATCTCAGACCCCTCAAGAGTGAATGCGGGTGCTGGTGCGTTTCTTTGCCATGTAATACGTCTCCCACTGGTGACGACACACAATGCATTGATTTTGTTTTGTTCCAAACCGTGAAGGCCACCACGACCCCTTCAAGAACCGGACACCGATGAACGCTTCTGGAAGTGTTTCCACATCGGTGGAGAGTCAAAGGAAAGCATCGATGTCCACACACTACCTTGCCCAAAAAGTTGGCGAATTTTTCTTTGCCGCTTGCCTGATTTTTACGAATACTCGAAAGCTCCCACAAGAACACTCCCAGCGACGTCGAGACAATGAGTAACCACCACTACAACTGACATCCATAAGGTCAAAGGCCCAATCCAGGTGTCCGGAAAGTAGGCCTTGACAGATTATGCTAGCATAATTTTTCGCATAATTCCTACCAAAATCGAATGATCGTATAATTCGAGGCAAATTGCATACGAATTAGGCACCGGCGGATTATGCCGGCATAATTATTGGCATAATTTGGTGGTTGAAAATGTGGAGCATAATTTGGCATCCTCTCGGAGGTAAGAGCATAACTACACGATTATATCACAGTTGTAGTATGTAGGCTGTACAATTGTGTACAATGCACCTGATCAGTGCTGGTGGTCTGCATGGTAAAGGGTTCGGAGGTCATGCAGATAGTGTTTTCAATAAAAAGCAGGGTAGAAACCATGGCAATACAGTCACGGTATTGTATGCTCGAACTCGTCTTCTTCAAAGTTCTTTCTCACACTGACACAGTACATGTAGCAGAAGATGCGAGTGAATCAGGCTTCATCAGGTATCCCATAGCGGACGAGATAGTGGCGGGTAGTCCGCAAAACTTCGTGTACATGTACATGTACATTACATTTGTACATTATGCATGTTACGAAGTCATGACCTCTGGAAGTCTGGATTTTAGCAGCCATGATATGACTGCAGGCTATTTAGAAAAGCGATCCTGTCAGCTTTTCTATTATTGTGTTCACATGGCGCTACCTAACGACACCGCTATTCAGACACGTTGTCTACGTAGCTACGTAAGTTTCTACGTAAGATGCTCGGTACCTGGTCCTGGACCAGGGAGCTACTCCATGGCTCCTACGTACCATCGCATGCGTGTGCATTGCAGACTTTTTGTTGTTGCCTTTTCCGTTTTCGGATGTGCATGCACGAGGAACTTCCTTCTTTGGAACTGCTTCTTGCATGAGCTGTTTCGGATATTTCGTCTCCTGGCCTGGCTTATTTCGTTTCGGCGCTGCTGAGACCTCCTTCCGCGGAATATTACTCAATGACAGGTGAGTTGACCAGTTCCCTTTGATTCATTTGCTTGTGTTGACTCTTTCATTTACGAAAAGTGTGCTGATTTTGGGCGGAATGCAATAAATAATGGAAAAGCTGACAGGATCTCCTTTCTAAATTTAGCTTTTCCGCTGCCGAGGCCTCCTTTTACGGAATACTCAATGACAGGTGATCAATGAGTTGACCAGTTTCCTTCGATTCATTTGCTTATGCTCACCCTTTCATTTACGGAAACGTGTGCTGATTTTATTCGGATTCGGATCCATTTTTATCTCTTTGCCCTTGCCTACAGTGTGCGAAGAACGCGAGTTCACCTTCTTGACGGTAAGGCTTATGTTAGATGTGTTGTCGAAATACTCATATTCATTGTACATTAGTACGTTACAAGTAAGGCTCTGGTCAGTGGCATACTATCGTTGGCAATTCCCAACCTGGAGGGAAAGGTTCAAGAACTCATTGACCGAGTTTGCCAAATAAATTCGCATATCAGGGAAAATCTCCATTGTGGAGAGGTTCAGTAACTTGTTTGCTTCATACGAAACAAGCCAATTGGTGCAGTCTCGTCTCATGAAAATCTAGTACTTGTATGATTGGATTTGTTTACTCGAGTCTGGGCTGTTTGATTTGTGAGTACCGCCGAGAATGCACTGCCCCAAATAAAATTTCGTGCCGCCAAAGCAAGAATTACGATCTGCAATCTGTTTGTAGTACCTGTAGTACCTGCAAGAATGTGCAGTACATGTATCATACTTTCCCTGATGCTGTTTCAGTTGCCGTCATGTTGCTAAAGAAAGGTTCAGTAGAGAGGTTCTGCAAAACGAAAATTCGAACGAAGTTTCGCGACAGTCCTTGCGAAAGTGTGTACGAATTTTTGCACGAACTTTGCGTTCTGCACATTTTTCGTAGTTTGCGTGGGCCAAGTGCGCGTACGCCATGACCCGATCTCACGAAATTTCCTACGACAGTTCATTTCGCGTTCCCTGCAAGTTTCGCGTCCAAAGTTGCGAAAGTTCGTGCGTAGTTTCGCACTTCATGATGTAGAGCGAAAGTTTGTACACATTTTCGTTTTGCAGAACCTCTCTAGTGACTCTTTTGTTTCATAGGAGACGAGTCAATGAGTCGGTGTGGCTTAGAATCTTTCGCCGTAGAAGAAATCTATTCGTATGTCTATTGGAGAAATAATTGTATTCACTGGTTATAAGATACATGTAGGTTAAGACAAACTCACAGAATAAATACCATCGGTCCCTTGGTGTTCGTCCTAAAGAGGTTCGATTGGATATCATTCATACTCACCAAAAGATGTGTAAGATTGTATTATCATGGAGTGCCTTGTTTATCTCTCAGTATTAGTACCTCCAACCATAGCCTTGTCCCTTTTATCCTCAGGGTCAGTGTAGTTGTTGGAACGAGGTGTCGGACTCAGCAATGTATTTGTTTACATTTTAATACATGTTTATTGTTCCTCCTTTGCTGTGTTGTTTTAGAAAATCGTGGACTAACAGTTTGAAGTCATTGAACTACTTCCAAAAGTTGTATCAACATCAACAGGATTACGATTTCAGTGCAATGTGATGCTGGATGACCTTATCACGATAACCCATGATCATAAACCATTATAAACACAGAATCAACAAAAACATCTGTGACACGCACCTGGCGCATGGCTACATTTCTCAAATAAATCTGATCGAGGGTGGGGAAATCTAAAATATCTGAAAGGCAAGACAAATTTATGACAGTCATGAAATTCTGCAACAGCAACATGCACAGAATGATCTCCGTATAAAATAAGTATCACCACCACCAGACCACTACTCACATGTTTCCCCGCAGAAGGACATGCATTATGCTATTGCCATTTTCTGCAAGAAAAGGCTTGGACATCAATGCGTATAATACGGTATTGATATGATCAAGAGTACATAAACCTCTTGATATGATGTGAAGGCCATCATTTACATATTGATATACATGTAGGGCATTCCATTGATTGGTGACAGAAAAAAACAAAAGAAATTATAGCAATAAAAACTGCTTTATGGCAGTTTTCTAAAAAAAGTTATTGTGTTCTAGTCCATGGACCCCGTCTAAAAAGTAAGAAATTACCGAAATGTGATAGCTGAAAATTAAAATTTCACACAAAACCTCACAATAATCACACACAGAATTAAAAGCTACAATCAGTCATGTAGAAGACCTTTTCCCCTCGTGATCCTCTTTCCTATGCATGCATGTTGCCAATTGTTGGTGCAGTACAAGTATTAGTTTAGTGTTAAAAGCAGCATTTAAAGTGTTGTGATTATTGTGAGGTTTTGTGTGAAATTTTAATTTTCAGCTATCACATTTCGGTAATTTCTTACTTTTTAGACGGGGTCCATGGACTAGAACACAATAACTTTTTTTAGAAAACTGCCATAAAGCAGTTTTTATTGCTATAATGGATATTGCTCGACATTGATGTATAGTTTTGATGTTCGGTCATGATAGAAGGAGAAGTGGAGCTACGGGAAAGATGAGCTGATTATTCGCAGGGTGAGGGTGACATCGGTTGGACGAGTACGATGATTATGAAGACCGTGAGTTGAACATGATAATCTTCAAAGGTAACTCAAACTAATTTGGCAATGAAATAATATTTTTACTGAAGTACAAAAGAAATTAAGTGATGATAGAAGAAGTAATGTTTTCTCTTTTCCATGTTGATCTCTAACATGCATGGACACCTTGCAGCTTGGTATGGGGATACTCATGTTTTTGTTGTACTTTTATTATTATTATTATTAAATTTTTGATAGGGCAATCCCGTACTTATGGCCACTTGCAACTTGCAAGTATGACAAAGGCACAATTTTCCGAACTTTGAGGCTCCATAAGTACAAAAAAGTGAATATATATCCCCGGGTGCCAAAGCATATAGGATTTTACGAGCATAATGCGAGAATCCATGAAAGCATAATTCCATGATTTCGCGAGCATAATCCGCCGGAGCCTAATACGAATCGCATAAAATTGGAATAATCCGCCTGTTCGCATCAAATAATTATAAATTTTAATTCCATACAGTTGTACATGTTCTACAAGTACAAGTACAAGTAGATGCACCAGGAAGTCGTAGGTTTACGACTCCCTTGAGAAAATGTCCAGTCCACTACAATCAGTGACGGTCGTAGCTAGGTCGGACGGTGCGTTGATCCCGTTGAACTTTTGCTACTACAGTACAACGACCTCTACAAAAAAATTTCCCTGTTATTTTGCACAGAACCATTAGCAGCATATGTGAGCATAATGCGGCATATGATAACTATTAGCATAAAAATAGCATAATTCTGCAATTTTTTCAGCGATGCGAAAAGCATAGTTTCACGAAAATATTAGCATAATCTGTCAGGGCCTACCGGAAAGCAAAACTTCCGCAAACAAGCACTGATGGAGAGAAAATTGCAAACGACTCGAGACTTCTAAAATTTTCTTGACAATTTTTCAACGAAGACTTGAATTATTCAGCTCGGAAAAGTGGCTAATCTGCATAAAAAAGTACAACTTTTAGACGACTTTTTCGGTCTTGGCGCATGGACTGTAACCCAGGCCAGGACTGCACTTACTTACGGGAAGGAGTATTTGCAAGATAATACCTGGGAACTGGAAGACGACGAAGAAGAAGCGTGGGAATCCGGCGGCAATGGCTGGGATGTAAGTCCAACATTGCTGGTGCTAGAGTTGCCGCTGCTTGCTTATAACTTATATAAGGGAATCATGTGTGTTGCCTTTTTGCCTTTTGCGACGTCCTCCTCTGACTGTACTCCCGATCCCAGGACTGAACTTACGGGAAGGAGTGCTTCCAAGATGGGAGACGAAGAAGAAGAAGCCGCTGAATCCGGCGGCAATGGCTGGGATGTGCATGTAAGTCCAACAATAAACATTGCTGGACAGTGGCGCTAGAGTTGTCACCGCTTGTGTATAAGGGATTCATGTGTGTTGCCCTTTTTTGCCTTCTCCCATGTTCTCCTCCGACTGTACTGGTGAACGCTGTCACATATGTTGCCCTTTCCAGTGAACTGTGCAACTCGGCAATCGGTGAATAGCAGAGGACCAATGCCGATGGCGATGCTCCTTCCTTTTTCTTTGTAACAGGCTGCGTTCTCCAGAAGAAGCGTTATTTCTGCATTCCAAGAAGGACGGCACAATGGTGAGTGGAACTTCGTGGGTGTGCAGCCTTGCTAGTTGAGTTGTAAATCAACCATTCTTCCTGTCTCTGACTTCTTCAATATCCTCCTCAGTGTCGGACTGTCCGCGTCGCATTGAACTGGTCCGATGAGGCTGCTATTGCACACACAGTGAGGGAACTCCCATACGGGAACTCGAAAGTACTGCTACAGTACAGGTAAGGTGGCCGTTGCTCATGAGCGTGCGTCGTTGTTGTCAACTTTTAAGCCAGATGTACTCCGACCTACATGGAGTCTGAAAGTAGTCAGCTGGCGAACTACAATTGAAGTTTAGACGTTAGGCGAGACCAAAAAAAATGGAGATTCCCGGGCCCTCCCGCACCAAAATCGAGCCAAAGCCAATTTTTTTTGAACAGTTCATACATGTACAGTACTGATCGTGTGAGTAGATCTGTGACGTGGAGTCACACAGACCCGAGCTTGTAAGACTCCCAGATGTACAGATCAGGGCCATCGTTGGCCGAAATATAGAAAAATTGAACAGGTAAACAGCGTATCTGTTGTCTGTAAAAAAATTGAATAAAAATTACCGAAAAAATGCTGTAAAAAAAGTTCAACATGGCATGCACACATATAGCTCATGTACATGTACATACCGGGAAAAAAATAAAAAAAAATTAAATTCGCCCGCCCGCACCAATTTCACATGGGTCCTGCCCGGGAATCTCGATTTTATTTTGGTCTTGCCTTAGATGCGCTTGGTCAGCTTTTTCACAGTTTCACAATGCATTGCACTCAGCACCGCTTCTCGGAAAATCTTGTTAGGATAGCTGTGGAACGCATCCTTCCCACTGGGGGAACGGCAAATGTGCTGTTCATTTTAGGCTTGCTTTTCTTGTACGTACAAATCCCCATTGAAAAGACATAGTGGAGACCAGAAACTGCAAATAGATGCTGGGAACCGCGAAGACCACCCTTCCTTGCCAAGTTCCCTGAGGGTGTGGAGGGGAGGGGGGGGGGGGGGAGCGGAGGAGGGACAAATTCCTGCACTGCTTAAAGCAGGATTCACAGGAGCATTTTCAGAAATTGCTTCTACATTTGTACCAGTTGTAACCGACAAACGCATTCTCATTGAGTTTTGACTTGAGGCATGTCAGCAAGGCGCTGTTGCATCGCTGACTTCTTGTCGTGATTCTGTGAATGGTATTTTGTGCGAGTTTGCATCGCACGCAGAATCGCAGGTCGTGTCGCATTGCGCAGCACACTGCCAAATTGCTTCTGTGAATCCCACGTGAATGGGAATTCCAATGGGAATGTAATCCATTGCCAACAGGTGTATTCCCGAGCTGCGCATCATACTGCAAAATTGCTCCTGTGCATGCAAGTGGATTTCATTGCTCTTCTCAGTTTGGGAAATTCTCGATTATGATAATTCTGCGTGTGTGTGTGTGTGTGTGTGTGTGTGTGTGTGTGTGTATACACCAGCCCTGAACATACATGTAGGTGACCCATTTGTGGTATCTCATAGCCTACGGTACCTCACGACCTTATGCTTTCTTTCTGCATCACTTGTATCTTGCAGGTATATCATCCCATGACGACCACATCGAAGTCTGAAATTGAAGTGTGAAGATGCTTCAGCAACCCCTTCATATTTTCCATCGCTTTTATTGTGCTTCTACTGTGCATGTGTGTAACTTACTTGTGGGATATGCATGTGATCACAATGTATGCCGGTGACACGGTCAGATTTTGTCCATGCGTGTAACGTACACCTGCATGCTATCGTTGAAAAGGATCTGCCACTTACGATCTTTCCAGGCAGCGCTCGAGCGCTCATAGTCATACGGTAAGACGGCAAACTCCCCGGGCGATCGCCAGGATTGCTAATCTTTTTGAAACTGACCCAAAAACTCGATATAATTATGAAGCCAGGGCTAGGGAGGGCCAGTTTGTCTCCTCTTTTGATGGTTTTGATGACGTCACGTGTGATTAGTATTCAAATTTTCTGCATTTGAAGATCTAAGTTGTTTGAATGGACCGTATGCGTGTTAAAACAAAATGGCGTCACGATTTATTGAAAGTGGTATAGTTGGTGGTACGAGTGTTCAAACCCATTTGAACTTCATACTGTTCGTCTTCTTTTTGACATGCTCTCTTTCCATCGTCCTTAGCTTTCGTTTGTTGAGAGCTGTTTTGGCTTTCTCCTATACCTCTGGGGGATGCCAAGTGATGGTTTTGTTAGGCTAGTGATGGCTGTGAGCGAGCGAGAGTTTGCCGATCGGCGTCGTCCTCGCTATAGCGATGAAAATACTAGTTACTGCGCACCTGGCAGATACCACAACACGTCGGAGCGTCCAGGAGCAAAGGAATCTTGGGTTTTCACTGGAATCTAGTTCCTCCAGCATCGTGTAGCCCACCGTCGGTGAATGGCGGTCCAGAAAGGTCGAACCTGGTCTTCTGCAGCATCTCGCAGTCCTGCGAGGCACACTGAATACGCCTGTCATGTATTCTACAAATAAAAATCACGAAGTAGTGGACTTTACAGTGATGAGTCTATCCTGTATGCTGCAAAAGACGCAGGAAATGTGACTGGTGTCCGTACACTGGACGCCAATATCATCCCAGTCTTCTCCTGCAGGATCTGCCTGACATTGACATACCGGTATGCAGTGGGTTGACATTGGCCTGGTTTGGCAGCTATCTGCCTTGGTGGATGTAGCAGGTTTGCATTGGCGCGTCGTCCAGTCCGACATTTTCTTGTAACTGTGGAGTACCGGCAGGGTTTGAGAGGTTGCTCGTGCTGTGAACACATCTCTACTGCCTGTCTCGTCCTGGAAGTGCCGTCTCGCCGCTTCCTTGCTCTACAGTAATTCATTGCTGTAGGTTATTGTTGTAAGGACACTGGGAGCACAACAGAAAGGTAAGCAACTTGCTTTGAAGCAAAGAAAGTTATTATTCCACGGATCTCAGAAGGAACGTTCCAGAATGCTGCACTGGCAACAGGCGGCCTGCATGTGCGCGGCCCCTGCAGTCGGTCCAGCTGCTGGCCTTGCAGTGCTGAAAAGAATGTGCAGTACAGCATGTCACATAGTATCGCAGCCTGGACAAATAGGCGCTGGGAAGTCCTAGTTATGTGCTCACCTACACCACGATGCACCAATCTTCTGAGCTACTTTGGCAACAACTTTGTCCACTTGAGACTCCCATGGGCTGAGCCAGTTGTTGAGGGCTGCATCAAGGTGGACGGCAATGACCGCTGATGGCAAGGCAATCCATGACACACAGTCACTAGGGCATCGTCAACATGGCGCTGAGGCTGGATCGATAAAATCAACCTTTAGGCTGCAGCGGGGTTGACAACGAGGCCGCTGTCTCGAAGCTAGTCAGTCAGCCTGGTCACCGCCATTGACGAACCAGTCGCCACCGCCAGCAGTGGCGGTAGGTTGTGACAAGTGTGGTGCAATATTGTCAGCAAATTCAGTACTCAGAATAAGATGAGTGACAAAGGGAACGTTGTGTTTGATAATATTGAAGTGAACAGGAATGATCACAAACCCTGCGCGTACTTCAATGTGAGTTACAAGAAAATTCCGGACTGGACGACGAGCAAACACCAACCTGCTACATCCAACCAGGCAGATACTATTACGATAGCTGCCAAACCAGGTCAATGCCGACCTACTGCATAATGTCAATGTCAAACAGATCCTGCAGGAGAAGACTGGGGTGTTCGCGTCCAGTCACTGAGTGTACAGACACCAGTCACATTTCCTGCGTCTTTTGCAGCAAGGATAGACTCATCACTGTAAAGTCCACTACTTCGTGATTTTTATTTGTAGAATACATGACAGGCGTATTCAGTGTGCCTCGCAGGACTGCGAGATGCTGCAGAAGACCAGGTTCGACCTTTCTGGACCGCCATTCACCGACGGTGGGCTACACGATGCTGGAGGAACCAGATTCCAGTGAAAACCCAAGATTCCTTTGCTCCTGGACGCTCCGACGTGTTGTGGTATCTGCCAGGTGCGCAGTAACTAGTATTTTCATCGCTATAGCGAGGACGACGCCGATCGGCAAACTCTCGCTCGCTCACAGCCATCACTAGCCTCTCAAAACCATCACTTGGCATCCCCCAGAAGTATAGGAGAAAGCCAAAACAGCTCTCAACAAACGAAAGCTAAGGACGATGGAAAGAGAGCATGTCAAAAAGAAGACGAACAGTATGAAGTTCAAATGGGTTTGAACACTCGTAGACCCGGGTGCTCGAATCAGAAACGATTTGACAGGTGTGCAATTTCTCATCTGTAAATCTCAACAATGTCAGAATATACTTTTGGAGAGGCGATGGAACAGGGAAGAGAGTCTGGCTTGACCCGCCCAGCAGGAATTCAGAACCTGGGTGCGCTACAACACAAGCTACAGTACGCAGTAAAATTGTCGTATTTCCTTCGGATTTTTTATTTGAAAATTGGGTGCTCGAATCAGAAACAGCGAACTCGTCAGATCGTCTCCGATTCAAGCACACGGGTCTGCCATCGTCTACGCTTGGTGTGGCAGTTGAGGGCAGGGAGTAGTAACTTACTACTTCATTTTTGAGAGCAAGATGGTCAGTGGAGCCGCAGATTCAGCAGGTCTTTGGCAGCACCGTACACATGGTACAGGAGACCCATATCCTCGAATCAAGGACCCAGCAAAAAGAGGGTCGCGAGTATTTCAAAAAGTGTTTACCGGGCAGCGCTGAAATTTGGCATACCGTTAGCAGGCCGTATGTTGATGGTATTTGTGAAAACTAAACGAAATCGGAACAAGTTTAGGTACAATTTCAGGGTGTTTCTGTTTTGGTACCCTGTGTCTCATTCGAGCACCCGGGTCTACCACCAACTATACCACTTTCAATAAATCGTGACGCCATTTTGTTTTAACATGAATATCGCGGATTTTCTGGTGATGAAGAACGATGTTTTTGGTCGACATTCCCAAGCTTCACAACTGAGGACATACTCTAAGGAACCTGAAGGACCCCTGAGGTGCCCCTGGTAGAAGCGCAGCCTGATGAGGGCCAGGAGATTGGAGCGGACGACTTCACTGGTCCGAGTACGAGGATCCCGAAATTCTCTATACGCCCTGAGGCATATGGTCAGAACAGTTTTGTTTAGACAAGCTGACGCGAAGTCGGGGTGATGTGTAACCATGGTAACGCATGTCAAAGGGCTGCCAATGCTAACA